TCATTATTAAAACAGAAGCACAAACACTGCAAATTAATATTATTATTATTATTATTATTATTGATATTTTGACTGTGTAATCTCCTAGCAACATTTGTTGTTATAGCAACATTCATTATTGTAGCAACATTCATTGATGAAGCAACATTCATTGATGAAGTAACATTCAGCTATAACAGCTCAGTATTTGTTTATGCACACACACATACACACACACACACACACACACAAACACACAACACACAAATGCACTGTATCACATGATTGCCAACTAAGGTAACTGTATTGCAATATTATCATTACAGAGATGGTTTTCCCAAAAAATGTTTACCAAACATCCTTTACAAGTTTAAGAAAAATTGATGAAAGCCAGGAATTTGTTTTGTTAATATTGACAAGTATATCAGGTGTTTATCAAATTAAAATTCTTTTTAATTTATAGTTCAAGCTGATTTAAAACTGACTTTAAGTAACATAAACTTTATATTTTTTAGCATTATAATTATTAAGTCATAAAGGTTTTTTTTATTTACAATGAATTATAATACTACTAATGAATCTTTTGTTTTATTTAGAGACAAGAAAAGAACTTAGAAAAAATATATATATTTAAACAAACACAGGAACCATTTAAGTAGAAATTTAGTTTTACAAAGAAAAATTTTTTCAAGAGTGCTAGAGGAGGTTTTTGATGTAAGTCAAAAAAGCTGTGAAGATATTATGTCAAAAGATAAAACCAAGTAGGTATGGAAGCTTTTCTATTTGTCGATTTTAAATCAAGCCTAATTCTACACCACGTTTTTCACCTTGTGCAGTTGCTATATTAAAATCAGTTTTTACAATAATATCTCTCTTGAGAATAAATGTTTTTTTATTATTGCAAGAAGTCATGTAAAAAAGGTCATGTCTGATGGTAAGCTCAGTTTAAAAAATCTCAGATTATATTATTTTATCTTAATTTTTAAGTTCTAAGACTTTTAGTATCTCCAACAGAGTCATAACTGAAGTAAGTCCATCTCTAATTCATGGTATAACATTCCATCTCTAATTTTGCTGTGTTATTTGCAAAGAACATTTCCTCTAATTTGACTCTTGAATCTAATAGCCATACTCTACAAGCCATTTTAGTAAAACAGATTAACCTATTTTTAGACATCCAAGCCACTCTGGCTTCCGATGCTAAAATCAATTCTCAAATTTAATCTTCTACAGCTTTTGGATAAGACAATATTTCCATCATAATCTTACAAAAGTGTTCACTAGAACTTTCTTTAAGCATCACAAATATTAAGTGCTAAATAAGCAGTTCCAATATTTAAAAACTCTAGAACACTGACCTCTCCAACTATCCAACAAAAAGTCTTCAGTTTCAAAGCATTAGTTTCAAAGCATTAGTTTCTTCATATAAAAGTTTTAGGATTATTAAATCATTTCTATCTAACCACATTATTAAAGTCATTATTGAAGGCCACTTCATTCCCGATAACTTTATTCACATTCACTCTTCTTCGTTCCCAGTAACTTTAGTACCAAAAGGGTCTGTTATTACTCCTGTATTGTTTCTACAATAACAATTTTCCTGACAATTTTACATCTTAAGTGGCTCTATTTGCTGACAACTCAAATTTACACTCTTGTCATAACAAAAAATCTTCACTTTTTGATTTCTTAGAAAAGCAGCTGATTTGATCTGTAATAGCTTCAGGCATGCAGTGGCTTGAGGATTTTAACTCCAACAAAATTCAGTTGTTTACTTCAAACAACTATCACAATATTTTTGATTTTCCTTTATTGACAAATAAAAACCCTCGCAATCTCAAACAAAGTCCAACAGCACATTGGAAATATAACTGGACCTGCTTTATTTGCCAAACTTGAGCCACTCTTCCATTGTTGTAGGGTTGCACCTCTTTTTTTTCTACAAATAATATCATGGTCGCTTAAACAGCTATCATCTAAAGTTCGATCAAATAAAACTTACTCTCACTTGGCTGTCATTCAGCAAAGTTGCATACTTTTACTTTATCTGTCATAAATTCATATTCATCTTTCACGTTAACAAAACCTGCCACCTATCTTCATTAGGGTGTCCCAGAAAAATTTTTTTTTTCAATATGACATTGTGCACTATGGCAATCCTCCTTATTTGGTCCCAGTAGACCACCATAAAAATATCTGGTCTTAAAGTCATTGTTAAGTTGAAGGTGTTTTAGAAAAATGAGATTTATTTATTTTTATTTATTTAAAACTTTATTTTCAGTTGATTGTTTACAATAGTTTTATAATCAACAAAAACTAATTAAAATCAACACACTAAACTATATAAGACAATACAAACAAACATATATATCGTGAATAAAAAATAAACAAAATAAAATAAAAATAGCTTATATAGTAAATAATATAAATGTCAATAAATACAACAAGTTGGTTATTTTCGACTTAAAATATAAAAATTAAAAAAAGTTATTTTTGACAGATTTTACAAAAACAAGATTTTCCGTGCCATTTTAAAATACTTTTTTTGAACATCTTTAGACAATTTATTGACATAGTTTCATTGTCTAGGGAATTCTATAGCGAGGTTGCTTTATATAAGTTACTTTTTATAAACTTATGTTTAGAGACTATGGGATGGAGTACTAATTTTTTACTACATCGAAGACTTAACGGTAAAGATTTTTTGATAAAAAGATCTAACATAAAATCTGGATTTAAACCATTTATAGATTTAAAAACTTCAATTAACAAAAACCTTTAGTTTCTAAGGTGAATACTTGGGATATTTTCTATTTTTTTAATTTCTTTTAATGGGAGATCAAATCTTATAGACAATGCGAAGTCCTTTTTCATGAATTTTATTAATTAGGTTATATTATACTTCAAACAAAACATCCAAATCAAAGGACAATAGGAAAAATTTGACAGTATAAAAGCATTGAATAAAACAGTAGCTTGTTTTACTGATAAGAAGCTCCTTACTCATGAAAGAGCAAAGCATTTACTATTCGCTTTTCCACATAGACTTTTAATATGATCATCAAATTTCAAATCCTTATTAATTGTACCCCCGAGAAGTTTAAACTTAGAGGAAACCATGATTTTTACAATTTTTTAAGCCAGCTAAAAAAAATTGAAAATTGTCCAGATTTGCAACCATTTTATTCAAAGTAAACCATGAAATCGCGTTCGATGTTTTCATTAGAAGATGAGAAATAACACTCTCTAGGTTGTTCCCTTACGGAAATATTCCATGGAAAACCCATGGAATTCCATGAGTAAACCATGGTTTTCCCATAAAAAACTAGAGTTTCCATGGGTGAATTTCATGAAAATTGAAATCCCATGGAATTTCCATGATTTTTTTTTTTCATAGCTTACGCTGCGCCATGGTTGTTACAAATGCGCTTTTAAAGATGGCGTCATAGCTCGTACAGTTACGATTACTTTTAAGTTGAGTAAACAGGTAGGCTCTCTTGTCAAACCCCTATTCCGACGTTGAGCGTCCTTTGCGTCCGTGAGCTTGAATTTCTAGAAAATAGGTGAAATGGGGTATATAGGGATTTGCGCTGCGGTGTGCACATACACCGACTGATTTTTAGAGAGAACATGCAGCAGAGTGTAGAAACAACGACTGAGGGTTTGGAGTAGGCAGGTTCTCTTTTAAATAAAAAAGTCGTTTTTTTACATTTTCGGACCTTGAGGACAGCGTCGGAATAACGGTTTGACAAGAGAGCCTACCAAGTAAACAATACTTACTACATTCTTCTGTTTTTCTGTGTTTAATAAGACTATAAATGATATGTTTGTTATAATGCATCACGATTATATAATTCAAACTAAACATACAGACATAAGCAACTAGATATATTTATCATATTATAATGCATTATAAAATGGATTATTTTTAATTATATTTAATTTTATATCATTTATGCATATACTTATTTTAACTGTTTCCAGTAGCTTTGCACAACTTGCAATAGTATAGCAAGTATGTCAAGTAAACCAGTTTGAATTTTAATGCTTACTTGGCAAATTATTTGCCAAATAATTATTATTTGGTTTACAACAAATAAACATTTAGTTTTAATCTACATTAAATAACAAGTGTATTAATGTACATAGTGTAATCTAATGTACATTAAAACTTATATAATTATTATTATAAAACTTATATAACATATTAAACAAACTTATCTAAAATATTAATATACAAGCAGTATATCAGATAAGATTAGATAACTAAGATAAGATAAGATAAGATAATAAGATTAGATAACTAATGTACAAAAGATAACTAGTATAATCTTTTTTATTTTTTTTTATAATATCCTCAGATTACATAAAAATGCTTGAAGTTAATTGTATGGTAAATGTTCATTAAGTATTAAAAAACGTTTTTTTATGATAAATGTTCTATTCAGTTTTAGTTGTGTTAAGTTGTTTTTAGTTCTGTTAAGTTGTCAAAAGCTGTGAAAATAAAATAGTGAATTGAGTTTAAATTAACCAGAAAAGATATAAACATAATCTCTGGGATTCAACTTGTAAGGATGTTCCAAGAACCACTTAGTTGGAGAAGGAAAACTGTGGTAATGTTTTAAAAGTATCAGAAAAGGAACTTAATGCACAAGATTTTGCTTCGTAGTTTTAACTTTATCATTTTATTTAAATTACTGCATTATAAGCAGGTAAGTTTGACTGACAATATAAATAACGTTGTATATCATGCAGACAGCTCAGACAAAGAAGTAAGTTTTTACTTAAAATTACAATTTATAAGTTATACTATATTTGTTGCTGTCTTGTTCTATATAAATGTTACTAACATACAGGTAAAATTTATATGTGTATAAATCTTTTCATTTTAAGCTTATCATTTCATTTAAATTACTACATTATTAGCAGGCAGGTTTGACTTGCAATATAAATTTTTAATTTATTTATTTAGCTGTTCATTAACAAGTAAGGTGCTTTATAATATATTTAAAGGTGGTAAGGACGTGAAGGTTTGTAAATGATGTTGTACATCATGCAGATAGCTCAGAAGAAGAAGTAAGTTTTTTTTTTAATTACAAAAATAAATATATAATATAATATTTGTTGCTGCCTTGTTCTATATAAATGTTTCTAACATGCAGGTAACATTTATATATGTATTAGTTTGAATAAATCATTTTAATTAAGATAATTTATAGGCAGGAATGTTTGACTGGAAATATAAACGATGTTGTACTTAATGCAGATAGCTTAGGCGAAAAAGAGGTAATAATCTAATAATTGTTATTTATAAATAATGATATATTCATTGCTACTTTTTTCTATATAAATGTTACCTAACATTTGGCAACATTTATAATTCTGTAAAATGCCTAATTATAAAGTAAGTTATAATAGATAATAATTATTAGTAAAATGAATCAGTAAATAAAGAAAACTAGTTAGAATGTATATAATAGTTGTATGATGTATTGTCTAGATTGGTGAAATGGAGAATGAGACTAACTATGGTGAAAAAATAATGAATATCAAAATGTGAATGGTACTTTGTTTGACATCTATCTGTTTCTACAGACACAATGCAGTCGCACTTAAATTTTGGGCTTGATGTTTTTTTGGATTGAATATGTTGTATTGATGGTTCTTTTTAACTTGTTAAAACTTTAAGTTATTATCAAATTTATATATACTATTTTTATCAAATAGTTAATATAAAATAATAAACATGTAAATTGTTTTATTTTCTTTAAAAAAAATTTTCTTGATATATTTCAATTGTTTATCACTATGTATATCACTTATAGTATTACATAACTTGTAATTTTTTGTTTTATTTATTTTCAGTATGTTATACATATGCATGCATTAAATATTGTGGGGAAGTCAAGTTTTGATGTTTTAGGTGCATTATAGCTATTATTTTTTTAAAGATTTGTAGGATTTAACAAGATTTAAATTTTATTTTGTTTATTGATTTTATTTGGAGAAAGCGATCCTATAGATTAAGAGAACTCAATAATATTAGTGTGATAAAATTTGCTTTTATGATTTAACATGACAATTCAAATAACATTAGATCAAAAAAAACTTGAAAACAAATCATGCTTTTTTACCATGAAAAATTCATAAGTTTTCCTTGAAAAGGTGTTCCTAATACCTATGAAAATTCCATGGTTTTTTCCATGGATGGAAATCTCATTGAATATCCATGGTATTTGGAACACTTTTCCATGAAAAACTCATGGAATTTTTCATGAGAAACTCACGGGTTTTCCATGGAAAACTCATGGGTTTTCATTGAAAACTCATGGGTTTCCCATAGGAAGCTCATGGATTTTCTATGGAAAACTCATGGGTTTTCATTGAAAACTCATGGGGATCCCATAGGAAACTCATGGATTTCCCATGGAAAACTTATGGGTTTCCCATGAAAACGTGTTCCAAATAACCATGGTTTTTCCATGGGTTTTTTCATGGGAATTTCCCGTGAGGGTTGTCACAAACACAAAGAGTGTTGTCATCAGTAGAGTTGCAGATTTCAGAGTCTTATAAATATGAAAAAATCTTTTATAAAAATATTAAAGAAAATAGGTCCCAAAATTGAGCCTTGAGGTACACCCAATACCATATCTAAATATTCAGAAAATGACGATCCTAGTCTTACCCTCTGTTTGCAAGCAGAAAGGTAAGATAATAAGAGTTTGAGGCTATCGTAAGAAAACCCATAACCTTCCAACTTAGCTATAAGCAAATCATGTGGAATTAAATCATATGCCTTTGATAAACCCATAAGCATAGCGCCAACTATACCTCCTTTATCCAAGCATTCTTGCTACTTATTAACTAAATTAAAAAGTGGGTGCTGTGTACTATACCCTCTCCAAAATTTTGGAGAGGGTTACCCTATACCCTCTCCAAAATCCACACAGCAATTTGTTAAAGCTTAGCTCTATAAAAACCCCTATTTTTTGTAAATAACGATTTCTAACACTTTTGAGAGAACTGGTAGAATAATTATTGGGCGGAAGTTATCAGTAGGGTTATTTTTTTAAAAACATGGTATGATATCGGCCATGACATTGGGATATGCAATTATTTATACAAGAAGTGAGGCTTTCTCTCAAATTCGTGACATAAGTTTTTAACATAAACGTTGGAATATCTCCTGTCTTTTTTTTACTATTTAAAGAATAAATAATTTTTGTTATATCATCAGAGATAATTTGATGAAATTTAAAATTTTGAAGATATATGGATTTGTTTTTAATGTTTATAATACTGGGATGGTTTGCATATCTAATAATAGCAGATTTAACAGACACATGTACATTGCAGGATTTGACACATGTACATTGCAGGAAGAAGGACATTAACTCATCTCAATGTTTATAGAAAACGTACAACGCTTGTGAAATATAAGTTGAAAATGTTTGAAATTTGAAATTTGAAAGTTATCCGAAATAGTGTCTCCATATTCAATCAACTTTATGCGATCGCTCAAATTACCAGATTTATTAGAAAAAAAAGGCTTGCATATCTTCCATAGAGATGTAGTGGAAGGCTTGAATAAATTTATCTCACTAAAACATACTTTCTTTGCTTTTTTATTTAAGTTCACTACATAGTTTCTTTGTTTCCTATAAAGAGACAAAGAAATGTCTGATTTTTTCAATCTGAATTTTTTTTTTAAATTTTGAGCAAAGCATAATTGCTTTTCTAAAATTCTTAGTCATAAATAGCTTATCGTTACCTCTTAAGATTTTAGTTTTCAATGGAGCATATAGATTTAAAAAGTTGCAAAGGATAGCGTTAAACTCATTAATGTCATTACAAAATCTAAATTTATTTTTTATTTTTTCAGAAAAAATAACACTTGAAAGGTTTTTAAAAGACCTGTAAATTAATTTCTTGGAGGTAACGTGCAGAAGGTAGCCCTGAGCATTGTAAAAATAATCGTGATGGTAACTAACACTTGTACAGATAGTCATAGAGAGTTCAAAACACGTCTTTCTATTTGTTAGGATGAGATCTATACACGTGAGTTTTACAACCAATTTAAAACAAGTTGGTGCTTTAATTAAATTACTTCATTGATATTTTTGTAAAAACTCTGATTATATCTCTACAAATATTTTTTTAAATATTTTTTCAAAACTATTTTTAAATATTAAATAAACTTTAAATAAATTAATAAATTTTAAATAAATTATCAGTTATTAGGATGTTGCGAAACAGTAGCAGTATATATGGTATACTGCTACTTAATTCTAATTTGAGTATATAAACTTAATGATAATTTTTACATATATGTAAAATATATATAAAAAAGTGATTATTTTGTGATTGATTATTGTGATCAATTCTGTTGTAATTTATAATATTGAAAATAATATTAAATATGGCTAATGCTGGACATATTGGGAAAGTTAGTGAAAAAAGAATTATCTGTTTGGGTACTCTCTCCAGATATTTTCTCTAGATTTCCAACTGGTGGGGAAGTTTGTAGCAGAATTTAATGGATTAATGGTAGTCATGCAGCTGCAATCAAAACATTACAATACAAAATTGGAGGTCCTCTGAGGAGTACAGTCAAGCTTAAATGCAGTGGTGGTATGTGTTATGCTGATAACAGAAACACAATATCAAATGTGTGCATCATAAGAGAGCTGGGTATTATTTGGAACAATCCTTCAATGAAAATTTTATCATCAGTGAACAGTCAATTAAGCGACTAAATATAAAAATCTCTTGTCATAAAAACTAAGTATTCTGTGAAACATATTTATCTGTGAAATATATTTACTTATAAGTTTTTATAGTATTAGTTTTTTGTGACTCATTTTAGAGACAACCCTAATCATTTACCTTTCTCCTTTATTTGTGTCATGTCTCTAACTCTAGCTTGTGTTCAGTTTCTCCTTGTTCTTTCTTTAAGGGGTTTTGACCATTCCATTCTAGCTACACAGTATAACTGATTGTTAGACATTCAAATCACTCCAACTTCTGTTGCTAAAGTCATATCTCAATAAAACTCTTTTACGGCTTGTGGTCCAGACAACATTCTTGACATTATACATTAAGTCTCTTATTTTGCAGTAAAAAATTAATTTTTACAAAATGTAAGTAGAATATAAATCAGGTTACCTAGCAATATTACCCTAACAGCAGTCAAATTACCCTAGCAGCAATATTACCCTAACAGCAGTCAAATTGCCTTAGCAGCAATATTATCTTCTAAAGCAAAAATGTATATGCCAGCTGCTAGAATAAACTTGCTGTTGATAGATAATAATTAGAACTATATAAATTAATAATAACTAAATAGCTCTAATACTAAATATAATACTATATATAGGAATATAATACTAACTAAATAACTAAATACACCACCTTTTAACATTTATGGAAGGGTTAATACTAACAGTTATACCTTTATTAACAGATTTTTTTATTATTATTATAAGGTAACAAGTGAGAAGTGATCTTTACTAATAGTGTATTAATAATACTCACATAAGCAATACTCATTGTAAATTTACTTCTTGTGTCAAGAGTTTCTTCTTTTATGCCACTTTCAACTCCAATCAAGTTTACTTTGCCTGTATGACTGCCTGTAGCAATATACCGTGAATCAGGTGAAAAAGTGACTGTCCAAGAATCAACTAAATTTTTATAATAAAATTTAAAAAAATAATGTAAAAAATAGCAAATAAATAAATAAACAAATAACATAACAAAACAAAATTTTTTAATAAATATACCTGGGCCAAGATCAATGCTCTTGATTTGTTTACCTTTATCTAAATCCCATATTCTTATGTGACTATCTAAAGAGCTGGATGCACCTACTAAAAATTTTAAAGTATGCATATATGTATGTATGTATACATACATATATACTATATATGTATGTATGTATGTATGTATGTATGTATGTATGTATGTATGTATGTATGTATGTATGTATGTATGTATGTATGTATGTATGTATGTATGTATGTATGTATGTATGTATGTATGTATGTATGTATGCATGAATATATGTATATATTATAATGAATAATGTATGTATGTATATAAGGGGTGTACCGAAATGGAAACTTTGGATTCTGGCCGGAACTGGACTTGCTAGAATTGCTTTTAGAATTCCAGCTGGAATAAGAATTTTTATGTAATTTTTTACTTTCAAGAATCAAAGTGAAAACCTGCACCTCAGCATCATGGTTATATAAAACAAGGATTGAATTGTAATTAATGATTGCGATATCTAGAAAAAAATCTGGTCTTCAAAATTTTAGTTTATGCAAAACTGTGTGCTTTGTTTTGATGGCGTAAATTAGCTTAAACTTGTTAGCAAATAAATTATAAAAACAAAACAAAATAATAAACTTACCACTACAAAAGTACTAACACTCTAGTCACTAACTAAATTATACTTAGTATAATTCTTAGTGTATATATACACAAATATATATGCATATATATATGTGTATATACACATATATATACACATATATACACACATATATGTGTATATACACATGTATGTATATATATGTGTATATACACATATATATACATATATATACATATATACATACATGTATATATATGTGTATATACACATATATACACATATATACACATATACATATATACATACATATACATATATACATACATGTATATATATGTGTATATACACATATATACACATATATATATACATATATACATACATGTATATATATGTGTATATATATGTGTGTATATATGTATGTATGTGTGTGTGTGTGTCTATATATATATATATATATATATATATATATATATATATATATATATATATATATATATATATATATATTTATATATATATATATTTGTATGTATATTTATTTCTAAACACAAAAAACAAAACAAAAAAGTCATAATACATTTTCCAGTATTGTTTATATCAGTAGAAACAATTCCAAGCTGATGTCCTTCAAAATTCCATTTTGATGTTAAACTGTTCTCAGACCTTACAAAAAATTTACATTTTTATCAAATACCAAAACCATAAACAATTAAGAAAAAACAACTATAAACTAACCATTTCCAACATTTTATTAAGTCATCAATGCCACCTGTGATAATATTTTCACATTTGTCTGTTTCATTGGTATGCCAAGATATTGACCAAATACTATCTTCATGAGCTAAAATAAAATTTAATTATTATAATTTTTTGAAAATCACAAAACAAAACAAAACATAAAATAAAAAAAGTATACCATTCTCTATTTTCTGCAAAACGGAATACTAAAACAAAAATTCAAAAAAAAACTTAAAACGAAAGAAAAAAGAAAAAAAAAAAACAAACTAAATAACTCTTTTTTTAACTAAATTCTCTAAAAAACAAAAAAAAAACAAAAAACAAATTAAAGCTAATCTTTCATAATAAAGGAAATAAAATTCATATTGAGTAATTCCAAATCAAAATACAGAAATATTTGATTAATTTTAAAATACTTGTCCTCATGTTTTTAAAAAACTTATTTGGCTTAAACATTTTACAAAAAAAGTTAATACAGAAAATTTTAGCCTAAATAGCACGTTTTCAGAGATATTGGAATTTTAATATTGACCTGGTTTCCAACTGACCCTGTTTCCAAGACATTTAAAAAATCTTTTCTGTAAATAAATGAATATTAATGATTGGATAAAAATGAAAATACACATTTAGAATGTTGAGAATTTTGATGCTTCATGTAGAAGCTTTATAATCTTTGATTCTGATTCCAAATTAAACCCTTAATTGATGTAACTGCGTTCCTTTTAACCTTGCACTTTCTGCCATTTTCTGTCCGAAAAATTCAATGAAATATGATAAGAACACGCTTAAAAAAATAATAAGTAATTTATTTAACCCAATTTTTTTTCCAATATCTCAAAACACATCTGTGTAAAAATGTAAGAATTATATCAACTTTAAAAGCTTTTTTTTTTTTTTTATTAAAATTAAGTAGGAAAGAATAAATTTGTTAAAAGAAATTATTTTTTGCTTACTATTCATACCAAGAAATTTATGTAGATTTGCTCTATTGGCTTAATGACATCATCATCTTCATGGCATCAAAGGCATTTGAAGATGCCATTGATGTCATTAAAATATTGATGATGTTTTAATAACATCAACAAGGTGATATTAAAACTTTTGTTATTAAAGATTTGATGATGTCATTAAGATATTGATGATGTCATTAAAAAATTGATGATGTTGTCATTAAGATATTAATGATGTCATTAAGATATTGATGTTTTAATAACATCAACAAGGAGATATTAAAACTTTAAACAGTGATAAAAAAATTAACACTTTAACATGGAATTATCAAACTTAATTTGTGTGGAAGATATTTTACAAAAAAGTTGAAAATGTATCCTTTATGGCAGAAAGCTTGTTGTGATCAATGTATGTAGAAAGAAAATCACTAGAAAGTAGCTGTATAAATACTGCAAACCCTCTAGACTAAAGATGGACTAGATTGCTAGAGGAGAAGATCTTATTAAGAGAAACAAGAAGTCAGAACAAGATGGGTATTTTTGAAATATTTCAAAGTTCAAAGTAACAAGACAGATGATCAATAACGATCTTCAAAGTTTTAAGAAATCTTTTCACCTCACTTAAAATCTTAAATTGATATACATTCAGAAGGAAAGTGCAAAAAATTGAAAAAAGAAAAAATTGCATGCATTAGCAAAATGGTAAAGTACATAACATAAATTCTGTCAGAAAAATTATTTGAAATATTAGTGTCAAAAAGAATGCTAAAACCTTGGATGAAACTATAGGCTTAATAAAAAAAAAAAAAATACATAAAAATAATAAAATTTTCAAACAAAAAACTATTGTTCAAATTCTCTTAATATGGGGAAAATAACAACAAAATAAGTTTGCAGTAACAGAATAATGGCCAAAGATGGCTTGATGGCTTTTTAGTGAAATTTTTTTAGCTAAAAAATCTGCCCCATACGTTTGCTCAAGATTAGGCAGAACTTGTATGTTTAAAAAAGTTCAAAAGGAAAACCTATGACAAACCTATGTTGTTAATTATTACAACTATAGTCAAAATATTTTGTATTTTTAATAATAAACATTCTGTATATTTTTTAGTAACTTTTTGTACTGAAATAAATTTATTTTTAATGTATTTGGAAATATTCTTAGTAATCTCTTGAAAAAGTAGGAATATCTTTGAAAGTATAGTTCCAAATGTTTTTGTTGTTTTTCCACTTTGATTTTTTTATAACAAATAAGATTTCTTATGTTCTATAAAATATGGGAAAATCTTATATATATTTATATAAATTTTTGTTTTGGTACATTTTATAAATTTGGAATAAAAATTTCAGTTGAAAAACATACTAAATACTGATTTTTATCTAATTTAAAAAAAAAAGTAATTTTTTAGAATTTTTACAAAAATATTGAGAATTTTCACAAAATACCTTGAAAAAATCTTGTTTTGCAGAGATCTTGTCTGGCAGTTGTTAAATTTCGCTGTTAACTTATATTACCAACTTATATTTTAAATCTCAATTTGGGATGCATGTGTAATTAATTCTAACATAATACAAGTATATAAAAACAACAAATGTAAAATTGCATTTTTAAATAAATTTTTCTAATAAAATAAATTTTGACTAGCCAAAATTTTGGTATCGGTCTTGGTAAAATATTTGCCATAATGTCAGTTTCGCACTGAATTTGAGTACCTGAAAATTCCGTTTCAGCTTTTTTTATGTTTCAGTTAATCACTAATATATATATACATAAATACATAGACACATATGCAAATAGAGCCCTCAAAATTTAAAAAAAAAAAAAATCGCTAGACCTTAAACTATTTTTGATCGGCATCAGGTCAGCACAAAATTTAAAAAGGTTTCATCATAACAACTTAGAAACCAGGTCAGCAAAAAATTGGCGACCTCAGACACTTTTAGGTCAGCAGTAAGGACACCATTGCTAAGTGCCAAACCTAATTCAGAAGGTGCTAACATGTCTATACTATAATATTAATGAGAATTGTAAAAAACTATGTTTAAAAAAGTATTTACCATGCTGTTTTATGATAAATCAATGAAAAGATTTTTATGAAACTATAAAAAAAAAAATCTTAAATAAAAATCATTTAAAGAGCAAATATAAATAATAACTTATATAAACAATTTTAATAATACCAAAAGTTTCTATTATTATTATTATTATTATTATTAATATTGAATAAAAATTTTTAATCACAGTCTAATAATTAATTGTAATAAATTTGTAAATGAAATTTAAAACAAAGCTAAAATAAAACTTCTAAAATAAATTATTTGATTAAAGGCTTTATTTAACAAAAAACATAAATATCATAATAAATAACATGAAAAACATAGCTATATATTTAACAAAAATTTCAACGTAAAAAAGCTAAAAAAGAAAATTGGAGAAAAGAATAAAATAATAAAAAAATAATTTAATAGCTGAAGAATATAATTAAAAAAACATAAATTTAAAAACAGAAAAATAAATAGCGAAACAAAAACAAAAATATCATACAAAAAATATTAAAAAAAAGAAAACACTGTAAATAATAACAGTAAAAATTTATTTCATATTTAAATTAATAATTATTTAAATTATTTGTTAAATCTCAACTTATTATGGTGCTTTGATAGGATGCTTTGTACAAGTAGGGTAGGCTATAGGATGTTTTATACTCGTAGATCTTTTCTTTTTCTTCTTCTTGCAAACAAAAGGTTCACCTCTAATTTCTGAAAGAAGATTTTTTCTTTTAAGTTTTTTCTTTTTCACTTCTGATTTCATACCCCCAATAAATTTTATGTCTTTGCTTAGAAAATCTTTTGTTTCATGTAGTTCATTCCCTGTTTGTGGATTTTTAAATTCATTTACAAGATTCACATCATGATGATTCGAACGCTCAAAAAGAGCAACAAAAAATCCATTTGTATAATCAATTGTAGGAACAGCACGTATGCATTTATAAGCTAAAAACAAAATTTTCACAAACAAATAATAAAAATAACTATTTTTAAACAATTAATACAAAAAATAATCTCACCTTGTTCCCATTCCCCTAAACCTCGGTTTGACCATTCAGGAAAAGCATGGCATAAATGAAAAGTTTCTTTAAAGCGATTATAGGCTTTTTCAACCACATCTTCATTTTCCTGAAACCATTAAAAAATTGTATTAATTAAAGTTATTAATAAAAAAAGGTGCTAATAATAAAAATATTAACAATAAAAAAAAGTTTCTAAAGTTTCACTTTACAGTAACTTGTCTAACCTACTTTAAAGTGTATGTATTACAAAGTTAGTGTAAGTGAATGTATTTTTATACACATAAAAATATTGCGGATTTAGGTTGGCATATTAACTAATATAATCTGCATACTTTAATATAAATGTTTTTTTTTCATAATAAAAATATGCATGGACCAAACACAAAACCTCAGTTGATATATTTACAAAGTTTCAAAAGATGGCTTCAATATGACATTATCAGCGTTATATATATATAAAAAATATATATATATATATATATATATATATATATATATATATATATATATATATATATATATATATATATATATACATATATGATCAATGACAAAGAGTTTTTTGGGGATACCCCCCAGTGACGGTGCCGCATCTATGATTTTTAAATATTGTGTTCATATTTTTTACATTTTTATTATTGCGTTTACCTTCTTTATTATCCGAAAATAAGTAGTCGATTTAAAAGAGTATCTCATGTGAAAGACATTTCTTTGAATATGTTATTTAGTGGTAGGCAAACTATTTTATTTAATATTATTTTATTTTATTTTAATAAAGTTTTAAGTTGCAAATACTAAATTATTTGGCAATACTAATTGAAATTTGTTTAAAGCATTTCAAAAATTAGATATATTTTAGTAATTTTAATTTTTAGTTGTTATTAAATGCTAAAAACATTTTGAATAGTTTTTATAATTATTAAAATCATAAAAAGCGTAATATCTCCAAAATTAAAATAATAATTATTTAAACACCTTTTTGCCTTGTTTGCCTTTATTCGCCTTGTTCAAAAATTATTTTCTATATATAGTATAATTTATTACATAGGGAATAACTATTGGAATACAAAACATAAGCATTTAGTAAGTGTATTTATTATCATTTTAATTTTTATTTCAATTTAAATGTTAGCAATTCTGTTCATTTAACTTTTACTAAAAGTTATTAATTTTTACAATTTCAAGATGCCTTTAAAAATTAAAAAGTTTGAAAATAACTAAAACTTAATAACTTCAAATAAAAAAAAAAATGTTTTATTTTGATGTTTTGTTTTCCTAAAGTTAAATAAAAAAGATAGCTAAACATCAAAAGATCACTTATTCAAAAATTAAATTTAATAATTTAGCAATCAAGAAACTAAGGAATGTTATTAAGGAATTTTGACTTATGTTCATTTATTATTAAAAAACCTTTTAATTGATTAAAAGTTAACTAAAGTTAACTTGACCCAAAATTTGCTTAATCTTTTGAAATAACAAATTTCTCATACGTTCGATTGTCTTCAAATTGAATTTCATTTTTAAACTTTTCAGCTTTCTTTTTTTTTAATCTAACGTTCTACTAATAAATGAATGAACAGTTTTAAAAACTAAACGAGTTACGGAACATAATTACTTTTTAATTCATTTTATTGATCTAAAGAAAAAATGAAAACAAAAAAATAAACAGAATATTAGTTATTTACTACTCCATTTGAAACTTTTTTCCTATTTTATTTAAAAAAGCAAAAGAAAAACAACAAACAAATATTTTTGGGCACTCATACCGCTCAAGCAGTCCCATAAAAGGTCTGGGTTCATCCCTGATAATATAAACACACATATATAATATAAATACAAATACAAAACCATATATATATATATATATATATATATATATATATATATATATATATATATATATATATATATATATATATATATATATATATATCAACACATACTTCTTTGTGAACAGAGCAAGTAGAATAAACAACTTTCTTCACATTTGGAAATTGTAATGCATGACTCAAAGCAGCAGTTTGAAAGCCGGAAAGTGCCTTTAATCTACTATCATTTGTCTAAAAGTTAATTATTATGCTGTTTAAGTACCAAATTTTACTATATACATAGCCAGGCATCTAAAGCAGTTTACAGGTGCAATTTTTTCTCAAAAATCATTGTAACAAGAATAAAAAAAAAACATTGTAATTAAAACTAAAAAAAAACAGTCATTTTAATAACTATTTTGAATAATTTTTAAAATGCCTGCATTCTATTGCAATAAGAAAATAGAAAACTTTTTTTATTTATATTTATGAATATATTCTTGTAATATTGACATAACTCACATAGGCTTGACTTCAATAGCAATACTTTTAAGTGGAATAACTAAGTACGCTTTCAAAGAAAGTAATTAATGTCTGTTCACAAAAAATCCGGAATGAAATATTGTTCTTAATTGAATACAAAATTAATTGATTTTTGACAAAAATTTTAACTAAAATGAGAGACTAGACATCGTTAACTATTTTATAACCAAAAGTGGTCCTGAATCAGCGGCTTTTCGAACTTTAGCTTTGACTGAATCCATTAGGTTGAAAAAAGTAGTCTGGATTGAACTCTTTCAACTTTAATCGAATTCTATTCTTAAGGTGGTCAAGATTTTTTGCAGTAAATCCATTTCCATAAACATTTGCTTTTAAATGTGCCCAAAAATTTTCAATTGGCCTTAACTCCGGTACATTTGGGGGGTATTCTTTAGCGTCAACAAAATTAATACCTAAAGTGTTTTAAGTTTCTAATGTGTGTTTTGCATAATGACATCTTGCTCCGTCAGGCCAAAATAAAATTTTCATGTTTTGATGCTTGGAATTTATAAATGGATGAAGTTTTTTTGTAATACATTCTTTAGAATAAGTTTTTGCATCCAGTGCACAGTTTTTTACAGCAAAATAAGGCGATGAATGACCGAAACAACTGATTGCAATCTAAAAGAGAACTTTCTTGTCAAACTTTTTTTTTAAGTTGAATTTAATGTTAGGATCAGTTTGAGAACTATCCTTTGTATAGTAGCCAGAGTTTTGTGAACAAATTTCAACCATTTACACAGAAATAAGATTCATCGTCCATGATGATTTCAAACTCATTTGATGGCTTGAAAAAAGTTTTTGAAAGTTTTAATAAGTTTTTCTTTTGTTTAATTTATTGCTTTTCTGCTGTTTTTAGTGCATTTTTTCTTTTGGTATACTTCAGTCCATGCATACTTAATAATCTATTTACATATGAAACGCTTATCTTATATTTTAGTGCCAATTTTCTTTGCGAAATCCCGATTCTCTCTTCTGCTCTTGCAATCATGGACTCTATCTTTTCTGGTGTGATTTTAAAAGGTTTTCTGCCGCAACCGATTTTTCTTTTCATTGGCAAATTATTGTCTGACCTTTTAATTATGTCATAAATTGTAGATTTAGCGATTCCCATTTTCTTAAAATGATCCACTGTAAATTTCTTTCCACTGTTTATGTTTTGTTTATAAAATTTCCAATCACATTTCTAACATCGTTCTCTTTTAGATGCTCCATGTTTATTTGAATTAATTATTTAAACTCAATTTTGCCAAAAAATGAAACTGTTGTTGTTGACCGATTAAATTTAAAAATTTCGAATCGAAAATTCAAAATTTAGAACAATTTGTGTACATTTGAAATCAGTCCGGATTTTTTGTGAACAGACGTTATGTTTTAGGATGGTTTTTACATGTTAACAAAAGCATCCAAAATTTTAGTTAAAATGAATGAAATTGTAATTACTTTAAAAGAAACCATGTTTAAACATTATTGCTTTTTTAGTATGCTTTTTTTTTTAACTTGCTAATTTTTTTTAAAGTAAAGTAAAATTTGCATGTTAAAATGTTGCACTTTAAAATGTTTGAAACGAATTTTCAAGTTTAGAATTAATATATTATATATGTTATATAAGTTTAGAATTAATATAAAATATATTAATTCTAAACTTAAAAATTCTTTTCAAACATTTTAAAGTGTTTTAACATGCAAATAAACATAACTTCACTTTAAGAAAAATAAGCAGGCCTTGTTTTAAAGTGTTATGCCTAGAGCAATTTACGTACGCCTTAAAGGGATCCCAAACTCCCAACACATGTGTTCATATTAAAGATATATTAAAAAAAAAGGTTTGAACCAGATTTTTTTGATTAAAAATAAATAATGAATGCATACTGTGAAAAACAAATGTTGTTGTTTTTGCAGAAGCTCGTCTTCTCCATTTTTTTCAACTACTCGGAGTCTTCAAATTATGCGTCGCAATCTACAGACTTTGGCAATTCCTTTGAAGCGCGTTTAATTTACATAAGTTTTAGTATTTGACGTCACGGTAGACTTTTAACAAAAGAAACTCTGGAAATATTTTTATTTATTTTTAGTCAAAGTTTTTTTGGTTATTTGTTAGTTGTTTTTTTTTTCTACTTTTAATATTTAAAAAGATATTAAAAACCTTAAATATTTTATGCTGGTTCGTTGCTATAAATTGTTACTGCGCCATATATTTAATGTTTATAAATTATGAATATTTATTATCTCAATCAAGACTCTGATAAAAAATTATTTTACATTAATTACCCGTATAAAATTAGTAACAGCTTTTTTATTTGGTTAGATGATATTTCGTTTTAATTTGCTTTGCATGAAGTTCGGAAAGTCAAACGTAAAAAATAAGTTTGAATAATCACGTCGAAATATATTTAAAACAAATTATTTTAATGACAAATGTATTTTTATAACAAATGTAGGTAAAAAAATAAATAACTAAATAAAAAGTTCAGTATTAAACACCATTTCTTTATTATATTGCAACTGTAAATATTAAACTATTAACTTGAACTAAATTTACTTATTATTTAGAACGACTAAGCAATAAAAATAAAATGCCCCTAAAATTATGCGAGATTGTGTTGTTTATTTGATAACTGTTGTTGGTAATGTTGTTTATGTTGATTATTTTCATAAATATCAAAATAGTTCTAGATTAATCTGTCCGTTGCTTTGCTCATTGTTGATTTATTTCTAATTTAATTCTCAAACTATAATTATATGTTAAAAAAGAAAAGTTTTTATTTCATTGGGCGCTCTTTTTATAAAGAGTAGAACAAAAGAGAAAGAAAAGTTTCGGGCAATTAAACTTTGAATGAATAAGAGTTGTATAGAATATATATATTTTTTGCGTCACTCGTTCTTTTTTTAGATGAGAGAAATAAAAGTTTAATAATAAATTTTCTTTGAATAAATGAGAATTGGAAGAGAAAATTGCTTGAAAATTTGTTAATTGTGTTTTTAAAAATTTTTAATTTTTCATGTTAAGAGACAAATGCCAATTACGACACAAATTTAGAAATACCAAATATAATATGTTTTTTAATGCGCGTTATGACATTTTAACAATTTAAATTACCATCTATCTTGAATTAATGCCTTTAATTAATGTGTTAATTATTGCGTTATTTAATAATAATTTGCCCGTATTTTTGTTAAATATTAGTTGTTTAAAACGGGCAAAAATATACAAACTTCATGTTTTTTATTTGATGTTTATAAAATACTGAACAGTAAACTTATAATCAAAATTTATAATGCCGACTTGTGTTGCAATTAATTGTACTTTTAATGCAAAATCAGGATCTCACACATCCTTTCACAAATTTTCATATCTGATACTATGGTCAACTGTATTGTTTAGTGTATTCTTGTACTTTTTTTTCATAATCTTAACAGGTTCTAATTGGTATGGAGTTGCTGACATTTTAAAAATTTCATTATCAAAAATCAAATGTATAATGTATTTCCTTTTTATCCGTATCCAATTCAACAAATTTAGCAATTTAAATTAAATCAGCGTGATCAAAAAAATTTTATAATAAAAAAAGTTAACAATTCATTAAATATCTCTAATTAATACTGTCAGTTTATGAAAGTAATTGTTAATAAATACTTTTTTTCAACGGGAAAACAAAAAATTGTCATAGCGTAAAAATAACCAGAGAAGTTAGAAAATAGTTCCCATTGTTTAAATAAAAATAATTAAGAATCAGAATATATAATACTGCGCTCTCTTGCGCAAAAACAAGAGACCGTATATAAAACGTTCTATAAAATGTAAAATACTTGTATGAAAATCATGAGATTGGTAAGTGAAGCTTTAATATTTGTTTTAATTTAAATAATTAAAGAAATATAAGTAAGATATATAAATCTAAAAATTATTAAGATATCTGTAAAAAATAAGTTGCTCCTATAAAATAAAAATAATTTATTGTTTTTACTTTTTACAAAATTTTTTTTGCGATGTTTGGAAAAATAATACAAATAAATTTGTTTTGCTGTATGTTAAAAAAATACTATGGTAGAAAAACGCAGCTTAGTTTAATTACACTTTTCTTTTGTTAAAAGTCTACCGTGACGTCAAACACTAAAACTATTATGAATTAAACGCACTTCAAAGGAATTGCTAAAGTCTGTAGATTGCGACGCATAATTTTAAGACTCTGAGTAGTTGAAAAAAATGGAGAAGACGAGCTTCGGCAAAAACAACAACAATTGTTTTTCACGGTATGCATTCATTATTTATTTTTAATCAAAAAAATTTGGTTCAAACCTTTTTTTTTAACATTATCTTTAATATGAACACAACATGTGTTGGGAGTTTGGGATCCCTTTAAGCGATTTTGACATAGGCATAGAGCGATTTTGGTTAAGCTACTTTTTATCATTTTTTAACTTTAAAATTAGCGGTAACATTAAAGTTGTAATTAATTTTTAAAAAAACCACATTAACTTTTGAATAACAATATGTAAAAATATTTGTTAAAAAGAAGTTGCATTAAAAATAATTGTAGTAACTGTTCATAACGATATATCAAATTTATTGATGAACAACTTTTTTTATTACCTATTTTCTTATTTGTTAACTTTATTATCAGTAGTATTGTTATATTTAATTTTTAAATTTTTATATATTTTTTATTATGATTATTATTTTCATTATTATTGTATTATACAATTAAACTAATAAATTAAATTAATAATAACATTGTATCAATGTTTAACTTTATTGTCAAGTTTCAATTCATTTTTTGTAGCTCCTATTAACTATTATACATGATGTTGCTATTTGTAGGATTTACATTTCAAGATTTCTAAGTAAGATTACTCTATCAGTAAATATAAATTAATAATGAATTTTTGAAATTAGGCATTTATACCATAATGCTTTGTTACGAGTGGTTGTTACTGTGGTTATCAGACAAAAATAGAAAATAATATTATAATCACAGGTATAAATAAACTAAAAAAAAAAGAATAAAAAACAAAAAGACGCACAAAAAAAAAAATTACTGTTGATGTTTTGCACAGAAATTTCTGTATCAATAATCTCGAAAATAAGGTTTCTCAAACAAAAAAGCTTTTTAACTTAATTGTTGTTGTTGTAGTTTTTTTTTTTTTAATTTTCTATTATGTAAAAAAATTTTAATGTCTAAATTAAACTGTTAATATTATAGAAAAGCAAAAAGAATATCAGGTTTTTCCAAGTATGTAAAACATTTTTATGCAAATTCTTATAAAGTCTTTGATATGTAAAATAACCAAATAAATTTATTTTTATTTATTAATTTAGAAATAAAATAATTCATTTCTAAATTAATAAATAAAAATAAATGAAGTAATAATAAATAAAGTAATAAATAAATGAAGTAATAAATAAAACATTAATAAAAGTAATAACTGTATTTAACTAAGAATATTAAAAACAAAATATTAACATGTAATAATAAAAAGTAAAATGCAACATGAATAAGTTTTCATATACAAAGTTGAACTTGAGCTTGATTTTTTTTTTGTGTTTACCTTTCTATAGATAAAAATGAGCATGGAGGAGAAGGCTAATTATTTTTTAAGTTGTTGTTCCTATTTTCGACTTTAAAATTATAAAACACAGACCTTGATGAACAAGGTTGAGAAACAGCTGAGTCAAATACTACTAACAAAATGAATTCAAACATAGTACTTCATGCTTACGCAGCAAATGCTTCTCCACTACCAAAAAAATAAATTTAATTTTATAAACTAATAAAACTTTATTACTTTTTTCTTTATAACTTTTTTTTTCGATTTTTAATTTAAAAATAAAATACTATTATTATTAAAAAAATATTATACCCTTGCCTGTTGCAAATTATAAAAATGGGAATGTTAACTTGTAACTCCCTATTTAAATTATTATTATATAATTTGACTTATTGAAACTTTAAAATCTTCTTACAAAAGTCGATTCTTCATTATCTAAAAATTCATCCATTCTTGAAACAATTCCACTACCTGAGCAAGATGGATCCAACAAAATATATTCTACTTTTGAGTATAAAGGATGACAATGTTGCACCTACAATAGCAAGAATAAATGAAAATTCAAAATAGTCAACACAAAACAACATAAGTTTAAAAAAAAAAGTATACAGAATATCAATAAAATGACTACCCTAAGAAAATCTTGGTGTTTTGTTTTTACAGATGTACATGCAGATTTTTTCAGCAACTTTTGCATAAGTTTTAAACGATTAAAATCCAAGTCAAATGAAAATATATGACTAAAAATAAAGATTTCACATTCCTAAAAATCTTCACATTCCTAAAAAGTATTTTATATATATATGTAAATAATAAAATATTTTATGAATCATTATGATTTTTTGCCATTTAATAATTACATAAATAATTATACAAATAATTATATAACTGTCATTATATAATTTTGTTAAATTAATGTTGCACTTTTCAAATTTTTTTTAAACAAAATAAAAACATCTTCTTGGGAGATTTTGCTAATTTTCAAATGAAACACCCTGTAAAGGTGTTTATAACAGTGCGTAAACAAGATGCAATGGTATAACCCTTATAAACACTACATGTATATAAACATTTATGTTATTTTTATTGTTTATGATATTTTTTATCCAACATGTTAAATAAGCTATATATATGCAAATATATGCAAGCAGGAAAATATTTTAATATTGGTTCTTCAATAGAAAACTTTGTTGTTTGAAATCAAATGAATTTTAGATAAGATTGAATATTATGATTTTATTACTCAATTTTTATGTAACATATATATATATTTTAAGAACCATTAGAATATGAACCATTAGAATAAAAATATTTATTTATGAACCATTAGAATAAAAAAGATTATTACAATATATATTATAGGTATAATTAGAACATATATTTTAATCAGTTAAATTTTTTATTAAAATTATTTTATTTAAAAATAAGAAAATTGTTAGATGAAAATTTTAATTAAATAAACTTGATAAGAGTTAGATTTCATTTAAAACATACACAAGCGATTCTGCTACATTCTGATACCTACATACACAAGTGATATTCTTCTGCTAGCTACATATACAAGTGATATCCTTCTGCTACCTACATACACAAATGATATCCTTCAGCTAACTACATACACAAATGATATTCTTCTGCTACCTACATACACAAGTGATATCCTTCTGCTACCTACATATACAAGTGACATCCTTCTGCTACCTACTACACAAGTGATATCCTTCTGCTACCTATATAAAGAAAAAAAGTGTATTATATTTAAGGAAAAACCAGAATAAGTAAAGTTGGTCATATAGTTTGTGGACCACATTTTTTAAGATAGAAATCAACCCTTGTCCATCTGGCATTTGTGGCACTTGTTAAAATTTTGGACTTCAGAAAGATAAAATAAAACTTTAATGTAACTTGCATCTTTTAGCTCGATATAAAACAATTCAACTAGTTTGTAGTTTTATAGAAAGATTTGAGCATTGGTAATCAGTGAAAGAATCCTGGAAAAAAGAAAAACGCTTTACAAAAACTGGGAAGAATAGGTGTTATAGATAAATCATTGTGTGGATGTCCAACTTACAGGCTTGGATAAAATACAAGAAGCCATAAAAAACTTGACCTATCAGAATTAATAAAACTTCAAATGAACTAAAGAATTCTGTAGACCTTGGTGAACCAATTTATGAGGAATGTTCAAGAGAGCAACTACAACTTAGGAAATTCAAGAGAGAAACTACAACTTAGAAAATTCAAGAGAGAAACTACAAATGAGGAAGTTCAAGAGAGCAATTACAACTTTAAATTATGAACTTGAGATGACAAAATTGACATGACAAAATTTACAAAATAAAATTGAGATGGCAAAATTAAATGAACTGAATTTTTATGTGGCAGCAGATTTCAAGTTAATCAACAGTATGTTAGGTCTGTCAGAAAGTTATTTTATATGATTTACCAAAACATTTTATTTTTTCAACATTGTTAGAAATTTTGATTTTTTATTAATAGGAGGATGGCAGATAGTTTGCCTGCTGCTATTGTGAAGGAACAAAAGAAGAATCTACAGTTCAGATAAGAACATTTTAAAGCCTTAATGATTGGTATCTTAGGGATTTTTCAATAAATTACGCAACGCTAAATTTATTTAAATAACAGAAGTAGGAGATCTTAAGCTCTTTTACAAAGTGATTTTCATTAAACTTAAAGCGCTACTTGGATTTTTTATTTAACTTTTGACCTTTTTTGTTTTGTTTATAAGTTAAATTTAGCATTGTGTAATTGATGGACCATCCCTTAAGTATGTTGAAGAGAGGCAGTAGTAAAAGTACATGCAAATTTACAAAAATATTGATGGTCCATGTTTTCTCCAAGAAAATCTAGAGACACTGGTAATTGACATAGTACAACCTCCTGAACTGCATTTATATGAGCATAAAATGAGTGAAATTTTAGGAAACTCTTCAGTCCTAATGGCTGAAGAGTTTACTAAAAATTGATAAAAATGATAACCAGATACAATAAAGGAGGGCATGATGGACCTAACTGTCACAAATTTGTTCAGATGAACTTAGAGATTTATGTCCACCACATATTATACCTCACATTAAAACATTGAGGAATTTTAGAAAAGGTTTAATTAACTAATTAATTAATAAAGAATAAAATATATAAAAATATATGATAACAAATTTATTAAAGTCTAAAAACATTTGATAATAGTTTTAAAATCTTTGCTTTTTAGTCACTAAAAGCTGTTTTTAAATAAAACTATCACCAGATTTTAGAAAACAAAGCAAAAAGTTTGTGCAACTTAGAAAACTATCCCAAGAATCACACAAATAATTCTATCAGGCTGGGTGGGAAATTCCCTATTATACAAGTGCATCTCAGTTCTTTTATTAAAAAAAAACCCATAGAACTTAGGATGTTTTTAGTGAACAAACCTCTTACACAAAAGTCTGACACAAAAACATAAACAAAACAAAGAAGAAGTTTGCAATGCCAGAACTTAATAAATCGCACAGAAATTGATGAAAATGACAATCACATAATCAAGAATGACGATCTCTATAGTCACCAAACATTCTTCATTAAAAATAGGAACATGCGCATAATTATGAAGATTTTTTATTACATAAAATATTAATAATTATTGTAGCCAATTTGTTTTTATGTAAAGATGTTTTTAGTCTAACTACTTTTTCTAAATATTTATGAAGATAACAAATGAATTGATCAATTTTGTTTATTTTCTGTTGAAAATTAAGATTTTTCAAAAACTTTTTCAAACTGTTCTAAAAAAAGACTTTCATGAACTGTTCTAGAGAGCAGTTTAAGAAAGCTTTTCCAAGAATATGCCGTTTTTATTTTGTCTTTATCTGTTTTCTTGTTAGGTTTACAGTCTATTAATTCCCAAATATTTTTGCATTCAACTCAAAATGCCTATATTGATGCATATCATTAGCATAAAAAAGTTGAGTAATCTATAATTATGTATAATTGATGCATTATTAGTGTTTTTTTTTTCATTAATGTTTTTACATTTTAGAATGTAAAATATTATAAAGTGATGAAAATAATAAATCTTTAGAAATATTACTATATCGGAAAAAAGACATGGAAATGATACATAATAGAGTTTTGTTGTTAATGTCCTATATAGTTAAAAAAAGACATGGAAATGATACATAATAGAGTTTTGTTGTTAATGTCCTATATAGTTAAAAAAGATATGCAGCACAGTTTAAAAACAGAGAAGTCATAAAAAAGAGATAATAACAGTGACAGAATGAAAAAGTGCGATGGTAAGTTTTGTTATTTTCAAGACATATTTTAGTGGATCAGAAGATCAAAAGCAATAAAAAGTTTCTGAGCAAAGTTTGGAGAACTCCAATAGGTTTTAATATGATCTAACAGAAAGATCTTAACTATTAAAGATTAAAAAAAAAGATGAACATCAAATACTTCTAGAGTGTATGGCAATAAAAAATGTCTTAAAATCTTGATGATAATAATGATGATGATGCTGATGATGATGTTGATGATGATGTTGTTGTTGATGATGATGATGATGATGATGATGATGATGATGATGATGATGATGATGATGATGATAAGGAGGAGGAGGAGGATTGTAAACAACTATTAGTGGTTCTCTCGTCTCTTTTTCATCCCCTTCTCTTATGTTTGTGTTTGGAAAAATCTCTCATTTTATTTTGATGAGACTAAGCAGGAAATCACTCAAGATACAGAAGCTAGAGTGATACAAATGTCAAGCAATGGATCAACCTGTTTGCCAGATAGATCAGGTAGGATGTAATTAGTGAAATCAAGAGATGAGATTGATGAAAAGTTCTAAGCCAATAATTTAGCTTTGTCTTTAGTTGAGGTAACAAAATAACCATGCAAGAAATAAATAACAAGCTTGCCATTATTATAGACACAGTTAAAGAACCTCCAGAAATCTCTGAAGCCTAATTTTTGAGATAAAATACGAGATTTTGTGACCTTAGAATAACGGGCTTTAGCATTAGACAAAACCTTTTTACAATGGTTTCTAGTAATAGTAAACAGACATCTGTTTTCTGGAGAATTATTTTGGCAATAGATATGGAAGTAATGGTTATGATTAGAAACTGCAGCAGCACAATGAGAGGAAAACCATGGAGAAAAGCAACACTAGACTTGAAATAATCGAGAGGAAATAAAAGATTCTATGCCAGCTTGAATCAAAGAAGTTATGTAAGAAGCATATTTGTCAGCAGGAGCACAAAAGATTTCTACCATCACAAATAAAATCAAAGTCCCAGTCTTCTTTAATGTAGTTGTAAGAGGTACAATGATAGGGGGATTTTGATGATAAAGAAGAATGAGATAAAAGTTTTAGAAGGATCAAACTGTGACCAGAAGCACCTAAAGGTGAATGTGGAGAAACTGAGGTCTTACTATGATTAGAAACAAGACATAAGTAGAGTAGAGAAGGTAAATGATTTAGATTGTCTGGAAAGCAAGTTGGAAAGTTGACTTTTTTTATTAGAGATTGAGAAAGGCAAAAGTTGTGGGCCTTAACGCCTGCAAAGTCACTGACACTTGAGCAAATCTACTCAGTTTGGTGAAAAATAAAGTTGCCAACAACTATAATATTGGCTAAACGATAAATGAGAAAAGGACTTGTCAATTTGATCAAAAATAACGTCGAAAAAAATGCTTGAGATAAGAAGAGATAAGAAGAGCGATATTTTGAGATAAGGAGCAATATCTTGAGATAAGGAGAGCGATATAGTTTTGAGATGAGAGCGCTTTCTTTATAAGCAGGAGATCCAGGTTTGAAACAAGCTCTTATATAGAACAAAGAGAAAGGTGATAGAGTGAAGTGGTGCTAAACAAAAGTACATAAAAAATATTCTGTAGATTCAATTCTATTGGAGTCTTTTCAAATTAAAGGAAAGTAACCATTAACACTATGATCACTAGATGAGACAGTTAAACACAAATCAGCCTCACAAATAGCAAGTAGATCTGGTGAACGTTGCAAGAGATAAGACTTGAAAGAAGAAAAATTACTTTGAAGACCACAAATATTAGTAAATGATAGATTTAGAGATTATATATTTTATATATTACAATTTTTGAAAATTTTAAAAAATTATTTTAGGTTTTTTTTTTCTTATTTTATGCGACTGTAATTTAATATTATTTTAATTAAATACAGAGTTAAAATTAAAGAAAAAGAATGCAATAGAATTCTGAGTTTTATATTTTTCATGTAATGTTATTTGTTTGTTTAATGTTATTAAATTTAGAAAATTTTAAAAATGTAATTATATATATATTTTTTTGAAATTTGATTTGCAGAATCTTAATTTTTTCTTTTTTTTTTTTCACTAACACATCACATAAAAATATCACAACACACTCCAACACATCTAACACATCACAACACACTCTAACACATCACAACACTCTCTGATATATCACATCACACTCTAACACATCACAACACTCTCTGATACATCACAACACACTCTAACACATCTAATACACTAACACATTACTAACAACAAGTCTAAAAAACATTTTTTTTGCCAAAAAATCTAAAAAAACAAAAGCATAAAAGACCTATGCAGGTTTCCAGTATAAGAAAGATTTTTCTGATGCTGGAACTTTATTATTTTTTTTTTATTTTTCATCATTTTCTAATAAAAAATTTCAAATAAGATCAGTATTTAATAAAAAAATAAATTAAAAATTAAAAGAAAAATGATGAAAAAAAACTAAAAAATTGTTAACATTTTTATACGTAAACACTTCCTGTCCAAATAATCACCTACCAGAAGATATAAATACATTTACGACTTACTTTCATCATTATTAACTAATTTCTAAAAAATAAAAAAAACGTAAAAAATAATAAATAAAAAAAAAACCTTTTATTGCGAGTAATACTTGCTAGATGTGAAGATTTATTACCAGGAGCAGCACATGCATCAATTATCATAGAACCCATTGGTGGATTTAAAATAAAAGCTGGCAAGCAACTAGCCTAATAAATTACATAAAAAGACTTACGATTTTGCAATTTTATTTAACAAAAAAAAATATGTTTTTCTGAAAACAAAATCAACACTTTAAAAAGTAATTTTTAGAAAGCCTTAAAAACAACAAAATATTCAGAAAGCATTAAATACAACCCTCTAACAACACTTTAACTAAAATTGGCAGAGCAACAAGTTAAATAGAGTACTACCAGGAAATTCTTTTCATTTACAAAGAAAGCACTCTATCACTACACCACTACTGCATTTATGGAAGGCAGTATTGGATGTATGGAAGACAGTATTGGATTTATGAAAAGCAGTATTTGATTTATGGAGAGCAGTATTGGATGTATGAAAGACAGTATTGGATTTATAAAAGACAGAATTAGACTTTTGATAATAAAAGATAAAAAAAAAAAATTCAATCTTATTTAAAAATAATAAAAAACAAATAAACCTTATCTTGCAATAGTATTTCGCCATTTATATACATCAAATTTTTATGAAAATCGGTTCTACTTTCAAAGACCAGTAAATCAGGGATATCTTTATCTACACAAAATTCATTTACACTGAGGTCGTTATACTTCTAAAATAAAAGTATAAAATAAGTTAGAATTTATAATACTATGAACAGTGAACACTCTATATAAGCAACTTATTTGAACCAATTTCAATAAAAAAAGTTTCTTATTCTGAAAAGTTGCTTATAGGGAAACAATAACAATAGGGAAATAATAAACAATAGGGAAAAAAGAAGTACAAAAATGTTTACTGTTTTTTTTTTTACTAAACTGTAAGTTTAGTAAAAGTATTTATTTTACTAACTAAACTGTGTACAGTAAATAAATTCAGTTTTGTTTTTTGAAAAAGAAAATATTTTATTATTATTACATCATATAAGCGTAGTTAATAATTTTATTAAGAAAAAATAAATAAAAAATCAAATTTTAATAAATCTTCGGTTTAGTACAGGACTAATTGCCAAAACAAACAAAAACAATTACACTATTTATTCATGATAGCTTTTTCTCTTATCTTTAGTAGCAAAAGAACCTCATTGCAGGGTATGTCATTGGACCGGGTGAATAAAAATGAGCAATTGCTCACAAGCAATTGCTCTGAGTAAAAGCTAAAAGCAAATGCTCGCCGTAATAGCAATTGCTCAAAAATGTGTGAATAAAGTTTTGCTAATGCTCGCAAGCAATTGCTTTTGTGTCGGAGTAAAAGCTATATGCCGTTGCGGATATAAGTAGCTTTTTTAACTTTTAATATTTAAAAAAGGCTTCTTCAAACCAGATTTTAATTGAATCAGGTGAAAATAATATAGCTAGCCAAAGTTTTAACAAATGTGAAGATGAAGTTTTTATAAACATACTGTGCGAATTGCCAATACTTCTACAAAAAAGCCAAGTTCCAAACGTTAAAATAAAGAAAAACAAAGCATTTTTAAAAATGCAAGACCAAATGTTCCAAGCAACAGGAACAAAAATTGATACAAAAACATTGGCGAAAAAGATTGCCACATGAAGACAAGGTTAAAAAAAAAGTCTGACATCCATCGAACTGGAAACAAGCCTATAAAACTTTCAGCGAGTGAAGTCAAACTTGCTAATCTTTTAGATACAGAAAAGAATCCTACCTTCACACAAATTGATGGTTAGTAAAGACAACTTTATTTATATATG